TCATCTCATTCCACCCCCTGCCATGGGCAGGGACACCTCCCACCAGCCCAGGGTGCTCCAAGCCCCATCCAACCTGGCCTGGAACACTCCCAGGGATGAGGCAACAACATCACAACCAAGTTTAAGGGGATTAGAGACAATCATGGCAAGGAAATGCCCAGAAACAGTCAAATGTGCATCAACAGCAGCTCCTGATCTACTTTGTGCCTCTGTGGGTGAGATGTCAGTGCTGCAAGCAGAGGGTTTGGTTGTGTCCCTTGCTGGTAGTGAGAACACAGCAATAATGACCAAAGGAACAATCCTGCTTCTGACTTCTGTTGTTCTTCATGTCTTGCTGGGATTTTTCTATTATCACTGAGGCAGAAACAGATTTGTATGCTGTGAGCATGATGAATTTCCATCTTGCACCTTGCAGTGGTCTCAAAACAAATCCTCTTGGCTCTTTTGGATTCATGATGTTCTTGAAATCAAGGAAAAAAATTGAGTTTGGGGCAAAATATCCTGACAGCTTTGTCCAGATTAGCCATGCTGAGGTGTCACTGGGACCATCCCAGAGGGAAACAAAGAGATCTCACACCTTCCTTTTATCCAGACCATGACCCTAATGTGGTTTTACCATGTCTGGGGTCATACCAATGGACCTTGTAGGTAAGTTTTGGTGTTTTCCTTAATTTTATTGTTTTGATCCCTTGGCAAAGTCACACAATGAGGATTTAAATGCTTTAGATTCAATTTAGATTTACTAGTTTTCACTACTGTGATGAAGGAAGGAAATACCACATTTTAAAGCTTCTAGGTCTGTTAACCTCATTAAGTTGCAAAGCTTCATAGGCTCATCAGTAGCTTTTGTGTTGTCTCATATGTTTTTTGTGGGCAAACCAAGCAGCACTGAGGTGCAATACACTGTTCCTCTAACAAGGCAAGCAGGAGGGAAGAGGTGCTGTTGGCTTTGCAGGCAAGTGGAAGATATTGCTGCTAATTTATTCTCCTAAAATGCAAATTTTATGGATGCTGGGAGGTTTTATTAGGGTTCTTAATGACTCATATGACCTATGATACCTGGCAGTGAGTCTTACCTGGGAGCAAAGCCTCTGCCTGGGTGCTCTGCAGACACAGGAGAAGACAGAAATGTCAATTGCCACTTGTTCTGTTAAACCTGATTCCTCCAAACCTGAAGTGGGAATATCGTGAATGTGTCTAAATCTCCATATACACTTTGTGCATGCAAATCACAGCTGTGGTGTGTTAAATTGCATCCTGAAGAGCTAGGGAAAATAAGCTCAGAGAAGTGAGAAGCAAATGGGAGTATTTGAATCTTCAGCTCTTAAAACTTGTATGTGTCTCAGAGGTGGACAAACCCCTTGAGCTCAGTTCTGGGGTGGTGATGTCTCAATAACTCATGCCTAGGTGGTATCTGCATTACCAGAGGAGGTTTAGGTTGGATATTAGGGAACATTTCTTCCCAAAAAAGGGCTGCCCAGCCCTGGCACAGCTGCCCAGGGCATAGGTGATGTCACCCTCTGTGGGAGGGATTTAAAAGCTGTATGGATGTGGCACTTGGGGATGTGGTTAGTGGTGGCCTTGGCAATGCTGTGGGAATGGTTGGACTTGATGATCTTGGAGGTCTTTTCCGGCCTAAATTATTCCATGTTTCTGTGCTTCTTCTGTGTGAAAGCAGTTTGTGGTTCCTCAGCTGGTCAAAGCCTTTGAAAAGGTGGAATCTTCCTTGGATT